AAGGGGGACATTAGTGGACTCAGTGTAAATTAGGAAGGTAAGCATCTCGAGCTGTGAATGTTCAATCTATTATTCTAATATGTAGCCCAACTGCAAACCTACAAAAACATGGCTTGGCAAGGAGAGTATTAATTATAGAAGAATTAAATTAAGCAGAGAAAGGCAGCTCTGGATCTTTTCACAGATCCTCTATTCACTTTGAATAAGTGGAAAACATGGTTTCGGGATAATTATTAACAGCTTCTTTCACAAAACTAGCCTTTATGGAAGAGTAGCGAGAAGAAAACCGCTGTTCGAAGAAATCCAACATCATCACATTGAAAATGTAGAAAATCTTTCAGATTTATTCCCTGATTTGACATATTTTGAGAGTCATTGCTGAGGTTTCAGAAACACTAACATTCCTCATATTAAGGCTGCAAAGCTGCATGGAGCTGAAGGCATTAAGTGTTGACATGAGTGAAGCAAATAGATGCTGATCCTTATATGCAACTGGATCAGTTGTTTGTCTTGTAAAGGAGGACAAATGTGTGCATAGATAAAGGGCTAAAACAGACAGTTTGGGACTAAACAAAGGGAAGGGAATAAATCTGCTGGTAAAATATGTTTAACACAACATTTTTGTACAAAACTTATTTTGCCATCTATCCAGCTGTAGTGTCTTAACTAATGTTACAAAAATACTATCTTTAACAACAACAAAAAACAGATATAATCTTGGTAGATAAAAGTTGGACTAGAAATTTAAGCTAGATAAGGTATTCTGGCAGTCCTCCTCACAGCACGACTTGGTCTTTGTGAGCCAAATTCAATTGTATTTCTTTTTTGCAATATCATGTTCCTGATTATTCTCTTATCTTCAGCAAGACTCATTCGTAGTTCCTGGATTATTCAGGCAATATGATTCAGAGCCTAAGCTGTATGGATTTCAAGCATAATAGATGGGAGAAACATAATAAAACAGCTGCTGTCTAGTTAGAAAACCCATTTCAAGTTGTACCGCCACACAACAACACCGCCTTTACAGTCTAAAGTGAATAGAAAGTGGAAAAAAAACAAAAAAAACATCATTTCTCATTGCAAGAAATGTTTTGTATCTATTAGATAAATTGCTAAGATAATATTTTGCTTTCTGTAAATTTCCTTGGACTGCTACTGTTATACCCCAGTCACGCCACTATAAAATGCTAATTAAAAGAAATAGATGAATGAATGGAAGTCGACACACCCAATGCCTTTCTCCTGTGAGACACCATACTTGGCCAAATAAACATTTTGTTTAATTTTACTTGTTCATTTCAAGCTGATTTTGTGTTTAGAGTGAGAATTTTGGTTTCTACATTAGAGGCAACTCAAAAGCTAGCAGTTAATAAAGTTAAAGAATATCTGACCCTTACGTCACTGCCTGGAAATAGTTCTCATTTATAATGCCCAAGGTGGTTTCTTTTAGTAAATTACAGTTCAGAATTTACTGTTTAAACCTCCATGTGTCCTTGTAACCATAAAACTTGAGCACACCTGCCCATGAAAATCACTCATCTAGGTGTTATCACATTGCAACAGCTTAATGTCAGCGAGTTCAAAGGTGCCAATTCTTTGGACCATTTAACATTTTTAAAGCTACTGTCTCATCCCATGCTAACCTCAGAGTTTAAGACGCTGGCTGTTCAATCACATGTTGTACACACGTGTGCTTTATGCATATGCAACAACATGGTATTGGCCAATATTATTACTGACATGTTTGATGGAAAGTCAAATAATATTCAACTCTGTCTTCAGATAGGCAAGCTAAACTGTGTGTGAGAAGCCAGAAAGGAAACATAGACTAGAAAATGTCTTCATTAGCTCTCTATAGATAATTGTTGGTGTGGTCCAACTTCCAGCTGTGTATCTGTGACAGTGAAGGAGGGATTAATGTTTTCACTAAAAACCACATTATTCCTTTTGTCTGTGAGCTCGCCTCTCACGATGAGCTAAAAATCTATACAGGCTATACATCTACAGACGTAATTAATAACTTATTATTTCTTAATTTGTTTCACAAACACACACATATGGGATGTATTTTGGATAGTAATCCATAAATGTTCAATACTATTAAGTCATATTAAGAACTGAAGCTGTTGTTTACCTGTACCAACATAATGGCAACAATGCAAGAACTTCTTTCCAAATCATTAACTGTCTTTAATATCTTATCAGCTGCTATGAATTGTATATAAAGTCAATTTAAAACCAAAGCAAACCCACAATTCTGACACCTTTATACAAAAACATTGCTTGCATAAATTACATTTAATAATATTTACGTAATTAAAAACTAGCGTTCAGAAGGGAAATACTTCAGTTTTTTTTTTAGTGTGACTTCCTTAAGTGGAGCATAAAATATATTGCCACTTATGCACAAAATTATAAAAGAAAAACATAAACCTTGATCATTTTAAGTCAGTCCTACATGTTACCTCAGAACCTATTAAATTCATATTTATTACAGTTTCAGTGTATCTATTGTCTCTGGCAACAAGTAGGTTCGAGGTCAAAGGCTTGGGAGAAATGGACAAAATATACAATGGGCTGTTTTACAGCATTTGTAATCATGAATATAAAGAAAAAAACATCCTGTTTCATATGGAATAATCCATCTAAATAGTCTGTCTCATTTATATGATGGGTGTTTTTGCCAGGGCACCTGCTGTATGTTAAAGCCTCATTAAGATGTCACCGTGAAACTGAGCGAGAGGCGATCAGAAAATGGTGGAGACAAATATGAATTCTTCCTATGCAGTCTCTACTACAATAGAGTGTGTGTATAAAAATTACATAGTCCTGCTGCTGTTATAAAATCATGCTCTGAAACTTACAGTGCTTTGGAAAAGCCTCGGTGCGTTTTAGGTAAATGTTTTTGTGATAGATCAGTACAAATTCTGTAAAGTGAAAGGAAAATAATTCATTTTTTTTTGTTTTTTTTGTTTTAACAAACAAAACTGTGGCATGTATATGTATTCATCTGCACTAAATCTGTACTGAAATGTTTGACTATTCTTTTTTGGAGGTCACTCTAATTGGATGGTGACTGTTTGTAATGATCGATTGCCAAATCTTGCCACAGACACTCTATCCACATCTGAACTTTGACTGGGCCATTCTAACATGAACATCCTTTGATCTAAACTCTTCCATTGTAGCTCTGGTTGTATGGTTTAGGCTTGATGTGCTTGCTGACCAGTAGAGGTCTTTTCTACCTCCACTGGTCTTTTGTATCCAGCGTATTGATCTTCACCCACCTTCACACTAATGGTAACCAGTTTCCCTGTTCCTGTTGAAGGAAAAGATGCACACAGCATGATGCTACCTATACCTAGTTGTTTTGCATGTAGATGAAAAGCAAACTTTAAGTCTCATTTGACCATATCACATTTTTTATGTTATTTTTTCAGCAAACTATAATCAGGAATTATCGCGGTTTTCTTTTAATATAGTCTTCAATATATTATTGCAAAAATGTGAAAAAGTATTAGTTTATTTCCACTTAGCAATTCAAACCTTTGTTTGTACTATCATGTAATTTTTAAAAAATATATACTAGTTTGATTTGTTAATTTGCAGAAACGTGAGAACGTTCTAGGGCTATGAATAATTCTGCACCGGACTCCACCTTGGTCTATGATGCTTTAATGAAACGTCTTTGAGTTTCTGAAAAAATATTTGACACAAATCCAGAATCACTAAACTAGAATTTCGGAAACGTAGAAGAAACATGCAAACATTCATCTGAAGCACATGGATCTCGGCTGTTGTAGTTCAAAGTGATGTGCTGCAAGTGAAACTGGAATGTGACCTATAACTTGTAGGACGCAGTGAGTGAGTATGATGAAACTGCTTCCTTCACTTCTGACATCATCTGGTTTCCTCCAAGTTTCTTTTTTAATAGAGATAAAATGTCAGACCACATTTTTTTTATTGTTGCGTTTTATGTGTTTCTTTCCAAAGACAAAAAAATAATTAAATGCAACTAAAGTTTTTGTAATTAGAGAGGCGCCAAGATATCAGCCTAACATTGGAATCAAACAATAATTCTTGATCGACTGAATTTTATGTTTTCCCTGTTATTAAATGCATATATATATATATATATATATATATATATATATATAAAAAACAATCGATAAACAGATAAACTAACAGAATGTAAAATAATGGTTTTTTTTATTTCAAAATCAGATTTTGGTGCATAAATAGGGATGAGCTTTTAATTTATTCATGTTCTAACTTATTGGATTTAAAATCACTACATCAAAGTAAGTAGTAGTACACCATGTGTCCTTAGAATAAGAACATCAGAGTCAGATAAAATCAAACTTTATAGAAAACTAGGAAAACCTTATTGCTGCATCTCCATTTGTTTATTCTAGATGAGTAATTAGAATCAGAGCAAACATTGACAAGGACCAAGTAAACCCAGACCAGGGTAAGCTCCTTACCTCCTCCTGTGACACGTGCCTGCTGTGTGTAAAAGATATATATTTCCACTGTAAGCTCAGGGTTGGAGCAGTCGGAGCATTAGGCAATTTCCAGAATCAGTTTTGACAAATCCACTGCAAGCTTTTTACTTATTGCCTCATTCTTTTAATCCAGGCCTTCATAACCCAATTTTACTTTCCATGGATCCAGTTGTCAGCTGTGTTTAGCAAAGTCAGTCCTTGTCCTGGTTTTTATTTCTCTTTGCTCATGATTGTACTGTACTGAGTCATTTCTTTATGATTCATGTGTCTTTGCCTACACTTTTGTGTGATCGGCTTGTAATTGGACAGTAGAATTTGCTTTATGCCATTCTGAGTGATGAGTGTGAAAGTGAACTTAATTAATGGGGAACAGTCTGACTTATCAGTGCGGATAAACAGAGCTGGTTCCCTGTTTTCTGCCTTGCTGCAGCAGTTTTGCTGCATCAATCCTATTTATTGCATTATTTATAGATTGGTCCTTGTGTCTTTTTGTAGGCCTGCTCGGCTGTCAGCACCATCACCCACCTGGAGATGGACCTTCAGCGGGAAGGCGGCAAAATGACCTCCAAGGACGAAGAAGGAGATCATCTTCAAGAACTGCCCTTCACCCCCATCCATGCTCCTGTCATTACTCTGGGAGTGAATGTGCCGAGGTGAGGTGTTCACGTTGTGTGTCCCTGATTGTAGCGGGATTTAATGCCACTCAAATCCTCTGGGACAGTTCGACTGATGGTGTCGTCACCTGCTTAAAATTCATTAAGAAATAGTAAAATATTCCAAATGAGCATCATGGAATGACACTAAAAATCTGTGCACGATAAATGCCAAATGACCAAGGACAAAAACAATGTTCTGTCATCTTCACATACCCTGGATTTTCTCTTACTTGGTTCTTGTTTTTGTTTTGAGAGTTTTCCGTTTTTAAAGGACACATCTACTTCTTCCCAGTCATCCGTGTTTGTTCATGTTTGGTCTCAAGAGATTTTCTGAGTTTTCCCATCTGACATCTGACTATTGGTGAGGGAAATCAGTTTGACTTAACTTTCAGTTGATTAATAGATAAATAAATACATTGACAAATAAGTAAATGAATAGGATTGATTTAACATCAAATTATTAAAAATCTATTTTAATAAGTTTCCGTCAAATCGATGCTACTGCAATAACAGATTATTGAATAACTCCTCCCACATCTTTATCACAGACGCCAATAAATGAGGTCAGTGTTGTACAATAATGTGGGGAGCCTCCACCCATCAGACCACAGAAAATCTAAATCTTAAATAACCTTTTTAGCGGGTACTCAAATGTGAAGAATCACGTTCATTGTCATCTCCCAAACTCAGTGGAAGTGAAACATTGTTCTCTACAATCCAAGACAAACTGCTCGTCCAAAACTAAATAAAAGTAGTCTCTTGATATTGTTCACCTAATTACAACTAATGCTTTTTTTTTTTTTTTGCCTCCTAATAAATATTTTGTTCTGCTTGGGTTACAATGCATCTTTTTTTTCCTCTTGGTTTTAATCTTTGCTGTAGTTTCTGGAGTTCATCCATGTGAATCTTGTAGTTTCAGCTTCACACAGAAACATATTCGTTTTTTAAAAATATGTTTCTAAATTTACACTTACATATCCCCCCCCCCACAACACATGCATGGGTGAATACTTACAACAATCATTTTTCTATGCTTGTTCAGTTAGTTTCCTGAAAGAGAAAGTACACTTTGCAAATAATGAGCACAGACACAGAGAAACAAAGCCTTGCATTGGTGAGCAGCATCTGTAAATAAGCAGCTGGCACTGAAACAATTTCCCAATCCCGGCATTTTGGATCCAGACACCATGTTGTTCAGTTCAGCGAGCTGAAACATCGTTGCCTTTTCATTCAGAGCCAGAACATCTTTTTGACTGTTTCCAGTCTGAAATGACCCACTTTTTGGGGAGGAACAATAAAGTCAAAAGAAGTTTAATCCAAGTTGCTCTGCATATCAGATGGAGCCCCTTTTTGAAAAAAAGATGACGGCCTGAATATTAATCCAGAGTGACTAAATTAAGAGAGAAGTTTTAAGAAATGGGAAAGTGACATAAAGCATGAAATTGATGCAGCTGTGGAGAAAAACACAATTGACTCCCCTTGTCACTGCTGTCACCCTGATTAGTTTGACCAAGGCTTTTTTCTTTGGACATTTTTAATTACTGTCTCAGCTATTTACCAAATGGACTCCGACCGTGTTAGTGCTATGGCATTATTGCTCATTTCTTATGCCTGCACTTTAGCCAGCCATCTGTGTGCTGCATTTATCACAGCCATGGCATTCCGAGTCAGTGTTAAAAGTATAAGTTATGAATGTTACCATAGTTCTGCTGAAACAGGTGGCCACTATGATTAGAGATAACTGGCAATTATGCTTGAAAATCCTGAGGGAGAGCTTTGGCACCCACCCATTCCCCCCCTTTTTCCCTCCCCTATAACTATTATCCTGGAGCTGCTGTTTGATGGATATTGCTGACATCCGTATGCTGTCTAATCATCGTTTCATCACATTTATGTTTAGTGCAGACGGATATTGCAACTCAAGTTCGGTTAAACAGGGCGAAGTGACAAAGTTGACGTTATCGCTCAAACGATAAACATCTCAAATTAGAAAGGAGGCGAGATAAAATGATGAAAGGTCTGAATTGATAAGCAGGTGTTGTATTTTACCCATCTCTCGTCATTTTTCCTGTCTCATTTGAAGTAAATCACCTTAATGAGGCCTGTGCAGCAGGGAATCGACACATTACCTCCTGTTGTTTGTCAAGCGTCAAGAACACATTTGAAGACGTCTGTGTGCCGTGCTCCAACAGATCTGACATTTTGCTTTGATGATTTTTTTTTCTCCAGCTCCTGCTCAGTCAGCTCCAGGAGCTCTCTGGCACACCTTTTCTCCGCCGGCTTTCCTGAAATCCTTGACTGCAGCGGGCAGGTGGCAGAAGTCCTGGACCCGACTGAACCTATGCCCTTCGATCCTCAGCGGGAGGAGGCTGACCTTTTACAGGGAAACCTGCTGGTGTTTGAGTTTCTGGCATTTACCAGGTGAGGTCTGCAGTGCTGTGACACATACAGCAGCACAGATGATGCTGACTCTCAGCAGCATCCTGTGTCCTCCTGCACAGTGCATCAATACACACAGTATTCTCTCCATATGTAGCGTACGGATCGAGATAGGTTAGAAACTTCCATTTTGTCACATTAGAAAAGCAACAAACTTGACTGTAATTTAGGATTGTATGTAATTAACCAACACACACACACACACAAAAAAAAAAAAAAACAATTGTGAAGTGAAAGAAAAAACGACAAATGTTCACTTTTAAAGTCAGGGCTTAAAAGATTACCAAAGATATGCTTTTTACATATTTGTTAAAATTATTATGTCGTGACAGTAGAAGATGAGACGGATGATGTGTGAAAAGATTGAGCTCCTCCACCTCCGCCCAGTGTTACTATTAATATCTGAAGAAATGTGCCACTCCTGGTCAGCCAATCAGAACCCAGAGGAGCATCTTGGTTTGATTCATGGAGAAGCTAAACATGGATGGCAGACTTCATTGTTGTCAGCACATTGACAACTTAATCCTTATTATTTTCTGCCACGGTATATGCGTCCTGCATATCATATCAGGACGCAGAATAGTGACCTTTGTTAAGTATCAATGACTTACAGGTCGGGTGAATGCGACCTGGTCATAGAGAAGCAGGTCATATTTGGAAAAAATCTGATATTTAGGACCACATATCCAAGTGACCTGGGTGGCTTTTTGAAAGATCTGATCTGTGTTATTTAGACCGTCATGAAAAGATCGGATTCTGGGCACGTAATGGATTCAGGTAACTTCAGGCTGCAGAGTGAACATAGTGAAAATCTGACTTCATTCACAATTCTTGGATTATTTTATTTGGGGGAAAAAAGCATAAACTATGTCACTCCCCTTTCACAATTTTGCACAATTTTTTCACATAACACAACATATCACATCCTAATTAAATATACTGGAGCGTTTGGTTGTAATGTGGCAAAATATTTAAGGGGTATGAAAATCCACACAGCATTGCTGCATTAATCTGTGGGAGAGTCAGAAATGATGCATTGTGACAGAAATGATTTGTCATTAATTTACAGTTTAAAATGAACTTGTCACATGATGACATAAACGTTTAGAATGAAAAGGAGTAGTTGGAGGGGGATCTTATTTAGTTTACCTCTTCTCTCAAAAATCAACTTGCTATCAATCGACCGTTCATACAGATACCTCTTCAAACAAAAAACAGGCAATATATATAAAAATCACCAAAAAAGTAGATACATTATTTTTGTAAATGATATAACACTCTACAGAGTCAATATACTTCATCATACATTGATCGCATCTTATATTGTATTATTTTCTTAAAAGTAAAAATTGATCTACTCTCTTTGGTTTCTTTAGACAGATTGTTCCACAGATTTGTTCCATAAGCAGGAACACAATATTCCATTTGTTTTGTTCTGACTTTGGGCTTTTTAAAACCCAAACACTTAGAGCACACATTCCTTTCCGTCCATTAAACTACTGGCCTTTTATCTGCATTGAGGAATTGATATTGTAGATGGACATTTGTTTGACGGCTAAGGATAATAGCCCACTTCCTGCCTAGACACCTTACATGTTTTTTTTAGTATATATTTCTTTTTTTCTGTCTTCTACAGATAGACTTCAATTCACATAAGTCCTCCACAAAGTCCTGCCTGTCAATTACATACCCATACATGGCATGTATGCTCTGTATTACAGAGGCGCCATATTTCCTGTCAAATCAGGCAGAAGAGCACCTCTGTCATTGTCCCATCAGGGAAACCTATGGCATAGTCGTCCCATCTGACAGGGGCTGACAGTGACGGGGGGCTGCTGAGGGATGTCAACAAAAGCCTTCACTCTTTGTGTCGTTCCATCAGCAGTCCTTTTCGTTTGTCTTGGTTGTCACTGACTCATCAGTGCACTGCTTTGACTCCTCATTCCAACCTCAATTCTGTGCAACTTTTCTCCGATTAGAGGCCTGATACATGAAGCTGTTTGCATTGTCTATTTATGGATCTTTGGATTTATGCCGTTTCTGCTTGGAGCAATTACAATCAGAACCTCTAACTGACAGCACGTACATGTGGATCATTGACAGATGAGGACATTACACCAGACTCATATTCCCAAGTTAAATATTCATATTGAGGGCTGAGTTTCATATGTCAAGTGCTTTTATGTTTCTGCAGACTCTTTTGAGTCTGAAAATGCATGTCTAGGTCGATAAAATGCCTCACCTTGAATGATTGATCGCTCTGTCCAAAGTGCTTGTGGTGCATTCTTTAATGACATGTTGCTATGCACTATTATGGAAGTTTGAACAGGAATGGGACGCAAAGATCCCAAAGACTAATTTGAGGCATTTTTTTTTAGAGATTACAAACTGAAATGTTTTGCTTTTTTTTTTTTTTTTAAACTTTCTCTTAATAATTTTGATGTTTGTATACATAGTTACATATTGATGTGTAGTCATCATTAACATTGTCTTGCAGAAGTATTTAATTTTTTTATATTTTTTTTACCTTTAAATTTCAACCTCAAACTTTAGCATGTTTTAGTGGGATGTTATGCAGTAGACCAACTAAATGTGTTAAATAACAAGATTTTAAAATTATTCGCAAGTAAAAATCTAAAAAGTGTTGAGGACATTAATATTCAGCTGCATTTAAGCATCAGTGCAATTGATTTCCTTCAGTGAAGAACTCAAGAGTCCTCTGGTGACTCTGGAGTAGAAAAATAATTATTGTGTTGAATGAAATGTCAGCATTAAAGTAGAGAGGTGCATTATAAAAGACTTTCAGTTGTAATTTCAACAAAAAGTGGTTCTACAAAATCCACACTCAAGGTGGCCAAAGACAAATGTTTGTGAGTTTTTGTACAAATATGTTAAACATTCCCACTCTCCTTCCACGTCACAAGAATGTCGTGCTTTTTGCTGGTCAATTCAGTTCATTGAAGTGGGTAAAAATGTGAATAGTTTTACAAGGTTATGTTTTTCTGTAACGTTTTACAATGTGAAATGTTGTTTAAAAAAAAAAAAAAAAAGTCACTTCCAGAGAGCCAATGTGGACTTCTGCAAGTTCATAGCCGTCCGCTGTATTGCTGCTGAGACTGTTTCAATTTGTTGGTTTTGTGCAAATTAAAACTCATGGCTTTAGTTTTACACTAGGACCAAAGCAAAATGCCTATAAAAAAATATGACTAATGCAAAAAAAAAATCTTGAAGCTTGGTACAATAAATTCCAGAGATGTGTTATTTGGTATAAACCTATTATATAGTTCAAAGAAAACCTATTTCCCTGTTGTTGTGAGTGCAGTCAGGCTTGGATTCCATAAAGGCTCGCAATTTAATCACATCCTCACTGCAGGCAAGGTGAGAAATTTCAATTCTGGTATCGTTAAAGTATAACAGCAAATGTTTAAAGCCTGTGGGTAAGTTACAATATTCTCACATAAAAAGCTGAAGACGGTGCAACAACACACAGTATGGATTTCTATCTCGGATTTAATGACGCGCTGGTAAGAAAGCTGATTTAATTCTTCAACTTCTTTTCCAAAGCAGTCTGGAGTGCTACCTGAACCCACACACTCAAGCTTACAGCTAATTGCAGACCTGTGTGCTTCTCTGTTGAGTGGGGCGAGGGTGGGTTAGCTACCTCATAATTATGACAAACAGGTATGGCAGGCGTTAGTTGTTACTGTGCAGCAGTATCACTGAGACGAGTTAGAACGCTGCTACCAGACGTTGTAATTTTATTCCTGTCTCAGGTTTCATGGTTATGAATCGCATCTTTCAGCTGGACGCGTCTCCACTCTGAATCTGCTGTTACAATGGAGCATGGCGACCAATTTTTAATAAGCTGTCTTTGGGTTCACTTCCACTTTAAACTGTGACGTTCTAACCACTTGTTTAGTTTCAGTGCTGCTCCCTGCTTTGCTTTTTTCTTTTAAAAATAATTATTAAAGCATAAATCTTTTTTCTATTTAGCAGCTGAAGCAGCTGAGCTTGTTTCCTGAGTGTATTTTTTTTCTTTTTTCAATAATTCACTGCTTAAAGTTGCTTTTTTGAAAGCTCACTGGGAGTCTTTTTGGGTAAAACTTAATATTGAAGTGTGGCATTGAAAATTTGCAACAGTGTGTGAAATTGCACTCAGAGGGAGGCGTTTGTGTGAAAAGCAATACAAACCACTGGGATTTTCTTAGTCTCAAAGGCCTCTTTTTCCTAAATGTGATTCTTTCAAAACAAAGGAAGGATTTCATTTGTATGAACTTGAATGGAGATGTATTTATGCACCGGCTTCTGAACACTATTTCCTCTTTTCCGTTGCACAAAAGCTTCCTGTGATAAGATTTTAAAGCCATTTTTTTATTTAGTGTTTTTTCCTCAGAACTCTCTTTTATAAACCATTTTCTGAAATACAGTTTACTCTTAGTAGTACATGCTATTTTTTAATATAGTTTTTGTCATAAAATAACTTTTATAACTTGGGAATCCATCACATCTGATTGCAACCTATTTTTACATGTTTTTAAATATGTCACATATTTTTGTTCTTTTTACAGAATACCAGGAGCAGGAGTTGAAAGTGACTGGCCTCGCAACATCTATGTTACCTTCCAGTTTTATCGCTTTCCACCTGTCACCTCGCAGCAACTTAAGCTGTTGACCAGCGATAAAGTTCGGCCCAAAGCTAATGAGGCACTTCCTTGTGTCTTAGCCACCATCAACAAAGACGGATCTGTTAATACTGGTAAGGCTAACATGCTAAAAAACATGATTTATTCTTCCTTGCTGTTGTTTACATGTATTTTTATGGAGGTCTTCAGGTCAAGATTGGCGTTTTTGATTTCATAGTTTTTGTCAAAATATCTTTAGGTATTTTTGTGATGGTGCTTTTCATGATGTAAACACTGGCTGTTTTTTTTTAACCTTACCATCAAAACACTCCCTGTCCCTGCTCATAATAGGTCAAACCCTTTTGTAATCCCCGACAATGACTAAACGATTACCATCTCCACTTTCCTTGTTACCGTTGTACAATAATATCCTCGGACTGTAACCGTGTTCAATGGTGCTTTGAGGTTATGTAATGCTCCGACACTTCTCCTTCAGTCAGCTGAGTGAAGTCTGAGTCTATTCATGTCATAGCTAATGAAATGGAGGAGATATTACAGCTTCTGACAGAGTGCGATATTGAGCTCACAAATGACCCTCCCCCACTCCTTTCCACATTTCCCTCAAACTCGTACACCTACCGATGTCTCCATTCCCAAGACGCTCTCCAGTCCAGCTCTGTCAATATTTCCCTGTCTATTTATATTCACCTGATCATCTACAGACAAACGCTCGACTGCTGAACCTTTTCTTCCTTGTCTTAGGAAATAACCTCAAAGGTTATGTTTTAACAAGATGCTAATTTGTTTTTCTTGTTTCCTCAGATGTCGATTTTTGACATCTTTGTTCTTAGCTGCTTTATTTTATTGGCTACAAAAATTAACTTTATATTTAAAAATGGCTGAGCCTAACTCTAATAAACACATGTATATAAGATTCTGGAAAATGGCAGAATAAAATGAAAATATTGCAATGTTCTTTGTAGAGCTGATGCCTTTGAGTGAACTACACAAGCAACTAAGACGAGAAGAATTCACAAAAACACAGTATAGAAAATCTTTCACTCTTTCTTCTAAGTTTAGTGATTTTTCCTGACTCGCTGCTGCCAGAGGGATTCCTGCGTAAAGCCCAGTCCATCTGGAGTCCAGAGCTTTGTGTTCACAGATAGTAGCCCCTCTGGATAGTTGGAAAGCTGTCAGAATTGAATCAGACATCTAAAACAACTTTTAATCATTTAAAGTTTTCAGAAAAAGAAAATATAAACACAAATTGGTTACTGTTTACTTAAAAATAAAAACTTTAAGCATTACTACCCGCATTTGATTGCTCAAGGATTCCATCATTCATCCACTAAATCATTTACATACTTGATCCCTAAATCACTTTTTGCCGTAGTGTATATAAATGTCCCAAATGAAGCTGCTGTACTTCACTGGCTATGATCTGGCAATTTTACACATTGGCAGTATAATTGAGATTCTTCTTTAAGGCCTCTAATATTGAGTTTTTGATTTTGTGTCATTTGATGCAATGTCCTCTGCTGTTGTTTCCAGGACCTTTTTACTGAGATAAAGTTTTTTTTTTTTTTTTTTGTACAAGCATAAAACCTTTTACTTAGTCACTTGCTGACAGGAAACACAGACGTATAGTTAGTTCTCAAAATGGCCATAAGTAAATGAAATGACTCCTCCTTATTTGACAAGTCACCTTCTGGACACAATATCAGTCATTATTCAGTATATTAGGTTATATAAAACCATCTATGTTTGAATTATCTTTAAGAAAATAGCACAATAAATAACATTCACAACATAATACATTTGTTCACTAATTTACCTCATTTTTTTTATTCATGTTGAAATTTCAGTGAAAGATTACAATTTAAAATTAGGCTTCTGGATAAGGATTTATATTCATAACCTAGACAATTCTGTTTTCTACATTGCATGCACCATGGTTTATGGACACCTGTGGAATTCAACATCCAAAGACTGAATGCATTTCTTTCAGCTGTTTCTATATGTGAAAGAGAAATATTTAGTGAGATGAGAAGAGAATCGGAGGAAAACTGGATCAAAGTTTTCTTCTTTTAGTTCTATATTTAAAAGCTATTCAAGTTGAAATCACATGTCAAACACAAAAGTTGAAGAAAGACAGAACACGACAGAAGCAATCAAACTTCAAAATGTTTCCTAGAATTGAGCTGGTTCGACTGTCTGACTGTGAAAAATACAAGGATTTCAAACAAGGCAGCAAGTTGTTGAGATGTTTCTGACTCCTTCATGGATTCAGATTAGAGATTAGAGTTGAGACATCAGCCACAGCATTTTGCATCATTGGCCCTCTTGTCTTTAAAATAGCTCTTACATTCTGGAGCATAGAATGAATCCTCGAATCATGTCCTGTGATATGATGCAGTCAGTTGAAGTTAAAGCAAAAAGCAGCTTTGAAAAGATGATTTCATTTATTTTGAGGAAAAACAACTATCCAAGCCAATGTAACCCCTTTGTAAAAAAGTATTCACTCCCTTTGTTATGTCATGAATGAACTATGATGAGCCACATTTCTTTGGAAACCTGAATTTAATTTCTCAATACTTTCAAACTTGTTGAATCAAGAAAGTACTTATTAAAAAAAACACAGACAACATGAAGGAGGTTGAAAGATCTCAAAAGGCAAAACAAGATACTCTGACTTCAGGAAGTTTAAGAAGGGATGAGAATCAAATTAGTTGACAACCAATCAAAATTATTCTAAGAGCACATTGACTCACGCAGGCCACAAAGGATATAAAGGTATTGCAGGTTTCAGTGTAGTTATTGTTATTGTTCATAATTGATCAACAAGAAACAGAATGAGCAAAGACTTGATCAATGCCAAGTTTATTTCTAAAGTCAAAGGCCTGTCTTACATTTACCAGTAAGTCTCTCTAAACTGTTGTGTGAATATGAACTGACAAAAATTTGACCATATCATCACATCTCGTGTAAATGTAGCACAGCGTCTCATAAAACAAGCATCACACTGTTGAACACTGATGTGCTTGTTAAGCTTAAAGCACAACAGGGCTATTAGGCAGTAAGTCAAATAGGCAAAACACATTGGCAAATCTAAACCCCTGAATAGCTGCAAAAAAAAAAAAACACACACACAAAAAAAAACATCATTTTGCTATGGTCTAATCGAAGTCTTAATTTAAATCCAATTGAGATGCTATGAAATGACCATAAAGAGGTTGTTTGTCCTCAAACCCTGCAATGTGGCTGAATTTTAAATATTCTGCAAAGAGCAGAGGGCCAGAATTACTCCGCAGCGATGTAAAACACTCATTGGCAGTTCTCATAAAAGTTTGATGGGCCGTGCTGCTGCCAGTATTTAGCTTTAGGTGGCAACTACTACTGGCCGGGTTTGGTTTGGACAGCTTTTTATCTTTATTAATGAAATCATTTAAAAATGGCATTTTGTTTTTAGTTTGGTTAACCGTTATGTGATACAAAATTTGGTTTGATGATGTGAGACACTTAAATGGCCACTTTTTTGCAGCTTATCGCTTCTGCTTCCCTCAGTTTTTACTGTGTTGTTTAAAGTCTTAAGTGGGTAAAGAGTTTACAGCCACTGTTGAGGAGCAGCAACGCCATTAGGGTGTTTGCTTGGCCAAAACAATATAAGTCTTGTTGGTAGGTAATAAAAACATTGACCATCTAGGCTTCATAGTTATCAAGTTGAACATTTAAACCATTAATGCTTTTTAACTTCTCATAGTGTACATGCTTATTATTTTGAATTCATTTAGACCACAAGACACAGTGCTAAATAAATCATTTGCAACAACTGGAAATGAAATTTTGTTACAGTAACATTATAAACTGTACCCAGATAGACTGATGCATAAAGGGATTTTATTTCAGAGGTAGAAATAAAAGGATTCCTTAGTATGTCCCACATAGCTGATTGTGTCTGATCTTGAAGGCGTGTTTGGAGCTTTTTGCTTCTTTCTTTTTTTCCCCCTTGTGGGGAATTCAGATTGAAACAAAGCCAGTTTGAGCCACAGACAATGTACCAACTAAAGAGGCATTATATATAACCAGCTGGCCTTGGGTGTACATGTGTTGTGAATATAACACACGAACAGATTCGTGTCACGGCCTAAATAAAAATCCTCAACAGTATTTGTTTTTTCTCTTAGGATTTGTAAAACTGTGAGATGTGTGTAAATATTCATTAAAAAGAAAAAAAAAACCCCAATTGAAACCAAACATTAGATGATCTGTTTGGTAATAGATAAGTTTGTTGTGTGCGTATTGTTGGAAAAACAAGGTTTTTTGGTCAAAGGGTAACTTAGATATCGGTAATAACTGGTACCATCTAAAATGCAGTGAAATCAGAATGGTTGCTTTTATGGTTCTGATTTCTACTTAAGCTTTACACTGCCTCACCTTTGCAAAAGTGGAAATGTGATAAATCTTTAGTCGCAAGTACATTTGGGTGAGACAGACCAGTTTTTATGTCTTGATGTTTTAGCGTTCTTTCTATTTTTTCTGGTTTAGCTTTGTCACAACAGTTATTTAAAATGGTTGCAAAAAACTGAAAGCTTGATTTGTTGCTTGGTATTCACTCCACTTAGTCAGTACTTTAGCTTCTTCAGCAGGAATTACAGCGACAAGGCTCCTGTGTTATTCTTCTATAAATTTTGTAGCTCTTGCCTTAAATTTGCTGTTTAAAGCAAACCTGCTTCATATTCTTCACACTGAAGAGTTAATGTGGAGCTAAATGGGCTTAAGCTAGATGCTTTCAAGGTGTGTTCTCATAAACCTCTTGGATGTTGATTTAGTTGTGTGTTCATCAGGGTTATTGACATATTGAAAAATTTCATCTCTGCCTTATTGTTTTTTTTTTTCTTTCATTCAATAACTTGTTTGGAATTCATTTCTATTTTCCTGACCTTTGGAGATGGCAAACATAGCTGTAAGAGATAATATTTCTTGTGTGATATTAAAAGACTGGGCTGTTTGTTCTCAAATTGAAGCCAGTCTTGTCCAGATTTAAAATATTTGCTTTAGTACCGACGCCTAATAAAATCTAAAGCATTTTCTTTATTTCCCCCAAACTATTCCTACGTTCTTGTCTCGTTTTGTCTGATCGAGTACCATACAGTCTCACCTCATACTGAATGAATTGTTACATACATTAAGATGTATCTGATATCCCTACATCAAAGCCTTCTGTAGAAGTCATGTATAAATCTCAAAACATAAGAATATCGTGGAAAAAAAAAAAACTTTTTTTCTTGTTTCTCATTTCAGAAAATGAAGCTCATATCTTTTGTAGATTAGTTCTACATAGTGAAATATTCATAAGAAACCTTTTTTTAATTTTAATGCCTGACAGACATTAAAATAAAAATACTTCTAAGCCATTTTTATCACTTGATGCAGGACAAACCTGCAAGAAAAGTTGTAAGATGCTGCAAAAGATGGGAGACTTTACAACAGGACAAGAATCCTGAACAACTGTAACTCCAGCATAATAATTTAAATCTAAGAATATTCATGTGAAAGAATGGCCCAGTTAAAATCCAGGCCAAAATCCATCTTACAAACTGTAGGAAGGCTCGGAAATGTATTAAGAGTTGTTTCTAAACTCTTTTAATCGGAGCTACTGCTTTGTGTCGATCTATTGCACAAAACTTCAATAAAATACATCAAAATTTGTTGTTTGAATGTGAAAAACTATTAGTTTCTGAGGTATATGCTGTCGGGGTTTCTGGTTCAGAAGTTACAGATTCCTTTTAGTGACATGTTAAATTAATTTGCTAAAACAAAAGAAAAATCAATAAAAAGTTACTCTTAAGAATTCAAAATAACCATTTTTAAGGTTTTTATCTTTTATCCAAGTCATTTTGAGTGCAATTTTCAAATATTTTCATATTTTTACAAATAAAATCCTAAAGCATATCGGTCCAAAGCAAAAAGACTTTAAAAAAGTACCTCTCGTTAAAGCAGCGTATACTTTTCCTTGCCTCTTGTATGTTTCTAGGTGTAGCCTGGGCCTTGCTTTATGCTGGGGCTTGCATCAGTCTCAAGAACTCTAAATACACACTCTGCATCCACACTATTTTCTTAGCCTGGAGCCTTCACCGTCTTGTTAGGCTTGTTGATCCCCAGCAGGATTTTCAACCCAGGCAAGCGTGCTGTGCAAACACCAAACAGGCCATCCAGGTTAGGGGGACGTCTGCTGGGTGCCGCTCCTTGTCGGCAGACCTTGCTGCACACATGTAGCGCTTTACAACCCCTCGGGCCAGATCTGTCAGCTCTTCCTGCTTCTGAGCAGAGACACAGCTCATCCTGTCTCACTCTCACGCTCTCCCTCCACGATCTTATTGCTACTCGTTTACAGCACACAAACCAAGAGCATGCTGGGAGAATTATTACTCCAAGTGGAGAGAGAGAGAGAGTGAGAGAGAGAGAGGTGCCAGGTGGTTTTGGTGAGAAAAAGGTGGATTGGAGGAGTGAAGAAAGGAAATGGTCTAAAGGAGCAAGATTTTATGTAATAATATTGTCTACCTTGTAAAAAGATTCATAATCCTCTAAGCAAACTTATTTTGTAAAAAAAAACAACAACAAGATAGCTCTTGTGTACTGTTGGGTTATTACCAGCTGTATTTAGCTGCATCTAAAACCCAACGTTTTGATCATCACAACCCTAATTTGACAGTTGTTATCTCACAACAATCTAAGTCGAGCCTTATTAGCTTCTTTCTAATCAGAAGGGGATAGAACATAACTATAACTTTTGTTATTGCAGCTAAAAACCCAATGTTACATGTGAATAAGATTGCACAGTCGTGTTCACGAAGAACATAATATTGATACTCTTTTCTCTGATAAGTGACACTATCTAAAAAAGGTAAAGAAACTGTCTGTACCATTCTAACTTTTTTATCTCCATAAAATGTTATCAATTTAAATTTGCATTGTTTTGTTCAGTTGTGCATCTAGATTGAAAATAATCACTATTTTCCTTGAAGACTCACTGAGCCATCTTTTCTTGCACTTTAATACTAAGCAATTGGTTTCAGTGTGGCAAACTCTGCAGAGGAAGCCCTTCTGTCCCTCTTCCTCATGGGTTGTTATTATTACTCCCCTCTGTAGGAGTGAAGACATTTCAAGGCTCACAGCTGAACCGTAACCCACTAAATGTGCTCTCTAACAAGGGAGGCATCGCTCTGCAGAAACACATGCAGGAGGGTCCTTGCAGAGAGCTTTCTGAGGTCTCTGGGGGAGAAATGCTTTCTGTTCTTTTTGTAATTTTGTGGTTGAGAAATAGAACCTTCTTGCCTACCACCTTAAATACATACTCTATGTGCTGTAGGTAAATATAAGAAATTCTATCTAGAAACTTGAGAAGAGTAAATTCTATCAAATAGTTTTTTTTTTTGTTTTTTTTTTACATGCCTGTCATTGAAAATGAAAATGGTTGGAATTTTGATTCTGTGTCACCCAGGAAAGAAGCTGCATCTCATATTAGACTTTATTTCCCTATAGGCACCTTTGCAACCCTGACACTTATATTTTGTTGCACAGAGTCTTGCGCAACACAAGTTTCAAGCATGAAAGCTCTGTCTTTATTAAGATCACTTTAAGTCTCATTGTCGTCATAGAGTTGCAATTTTCCATCCAGTGTTTGGGAGAGAAGTTGCTCTTAAGCAGGATTTTGCTAATATTAAGTAAAGACAAGATGATTTAAAGTTTAAATTAGCATACTATCAGCGATGATTGTGAATTCCCTGGAGCAGGTCTCTCCAACTTTAGTCGACTAATTCATATATAAGCACCTCATTGATACTAAATAAAGCTAACCTTTTTTTCCCCCTCAGTAACAACTTCAACACAGAAGAGTGCTCTTTTCAAAGTAAATGAGTATCTCTCAAGTTTGTTGCATTCACCAAAAATCGTCCGACACCAGACGGTTTGTCTGTGCACCTCGAATCATAATCGTTTCAATCTGCTGCATTGAAATTTGTGGACGGCAGCAGAAAGAATCTTACAGTTAATTTACAGAAATCACAAGACACTCAGCCAAGTAGTACGAGACATTTTTAAGTTTTCATTGTTAGATTATGTTAGTGGAAATCTATTGTTCTGAGATAACCAAGCAACGCCCCTGTGGAGCTCTTTCCTGAATAAGTGGTTGTGAGGAGTACAAACATGACGGTAAGAGGGAAAATAAACAAAGAATGGAAAATATTCTTTTGAGTTTGTGGAGCTTTCTGGTCTTTTTAACTGCATGGGCTTCTTACCGAAGCTCCTCATTACATCACTTCTATTCAGCTGGTGACTCCACTGTACTTTTATCCCCAGGGAGTAAAGGCGATGTTGAGGCTTTGATACAGGGCTGGAGGGAGGCTCTGGGCAAGAATTCTGATCGTCCAGTTACCTCCTAGCCTCTCGTTCAAACCTTTGATACAGTCTTGCATAATACTAACACACGGGTTATTTTGCGGTTGTGGCAGTATGCATGCTATACCAGCTCAGCCTTTTGTACAGGCCCATTATTGCATGTTGGTTTGTTTTTTTCCCCTGCTTTTCTGCTTCAGGTATTCACAGCTTGCATCCAGGATTTTACTCTGCAGACATTCTAAGTAAACTATTCTTTAGCTTTCTGAACGGCCACAGTGTGATTCTCAGTCTTGATGTTTAACACTTTGTTAGACGGAAAGGAAACTTTCATTTCTGAGTCTTTGAAACATTCAGTTTAGATTTCTTAGATGAAGACACGACTTAATCAAACAGTTTGTAAAATCGCTCTTGAGGTTTTTTCTGAAATTGTAAGCAGCTTTTGTCATCTTGAATTGCCGTAACCTTCAAGGGTGGCCGACATTGTGGAATGGCTCTGTGCTCTCAGGTTTTCTGTTCTCAGTTATCAAGCCTGGTGACTCTCGGTTGACAGCTATATTACCAGCTCAGTGGCATCCATAAGGTTGACAGCTGAGTTGCCTCTTAATTTTTCTTTTCTCAAATTTAATGTCACCCTTGTGGAAGGAAAAGGGTAATATAAATATTTATGATCATGCATCAGATATGCACCTTCATGTTAGTGAGGGAGACTTTCAGGCTCACACATCCATGTCAACACCTTAGCCAAAAGAGAGTTCAGTAAACCCAGCAATACTGCGCAATTTTGATTACAAAGAACACAATTTGGTAGCGTATCCTACATACATACTGTATGTTAACAATTAGAAAAGAACAAATGTTCATCTGGGTCTTCAAATAGACTTTTTATGAAGTGTTTTGCCTTCTTGTCAAGGTTCTCCAGGCCTGCAGATTCAGTTCAGAGTTGATGACGATTTTTTGAGGCCAAGAGAAAAACGCTGGTTCCTCCGCCACCTGGCCCTCCATACCATGCACATCGATGTTTGGGACAGCGACTCGTTGCTCCTCATTGGTTCTACCGCCATGGAGCTCAAGGTAAATGACTGAAGGTTGGATGTCGGACTGACGTAGTTATTAGAGACACATTTATCAATTTTTTATGATCCAGATTTAACAAACCTTTGTCTTGCTAACAACAGTTATTAGATGATTTACTTTAAGGGGAAATAACAGGAGGGTTGAATTTATTTTTCTTGATAATCGCATTGTCAGAGAAAAGTCACTATAAGAATGAGATTTTACTATGTTAAATCAAACAAAATGATTTTGAGTTCACAGTTTAACTTCTTTAGCATCCTATTGTAGCAGTTAGTGTGGTTTTATATGTTTTCATTACTAAAACACTATTTTTAGTTTCTGTACATATTTTTAGACTATGCACATCGTAACTTTAGGCCTCAGATTTCCAGAACACGGTTCTTATTTTAAGGCCAAAGTGTTCTGAAACTGGCAGGTTAAAACCTCAAACAAATAGATAAACTTCCCTGAACTCTCTTCCTGTTATTTACTTTAAGTGTTGCTCTTTTGATCTGTCACAACCTAAACAGACTGCAGACAATGTTTGAGAATAAATTTTCCTTTTAAATGGTTTCCTCTGATCTCAGTTTGAAATTTATTACATATACTTCAGATATTGTTGACCCTCTTTTTGTTTTTTTTACCCAACAATATCAACATATCATAAAGCCTCGTAATACTGACATATGGGGCATTAACTTGTCAAATTGGAAACTCAAAGAAGTACATAAATTTTCAACAGTGTTTACTGTCTGGATTGCTACAAAGTGCATCATGTGTCATAAATTCATGCAGCATTTGCTGAATGTTTAGTGGCAAGAACTAAACAGAAAAATGCATTTCATTTTAACTCTCTGTTTACAGTTTCAAGCACGACAACTATTAAGAAAGAAAGTACCAAAATATCTGTTATTTGTTGGTCAATTGTCTATTAATAAACATGTTACTTCATAATGCTGCTCCGGTTCCCTGTGGCAGTGGATTAGATCAACACATTTCTTGGCCGTTTAAAAAGTAGACAGACAGATCCACTCTTGTGGACGTCAGTCTGAAATATACAAAACTCTTCATCACACAGATCTATTAGAGCAGTTCAGACCCCAGCTTCATCTATCTAGTTCCATCATCCATATTGAGAAGTTTTTCTTTCTTTCATTGGTTTGTTGGTTTGTTCTTTCTTTCTTTGTTTCTGTCTTTATTTTCTTTGTCTATCCTTCACATGCTACATACAACTTTGATTCCTCCTCTTAATTTGTACATTTTTCCTCCCCAGTACTTGCTGCGTCAAGGGAAGCCCGCCGTCCAGGCTCTTCACGAGTTGGAGATCCTGACCACAGACTATGTGGAGGAGGATACTTTACTGCCTGACGCAGATCAGTATCTGCGTTCAACATCCACCGCGATGATGGTTTACGCCATTGTCAGAGGCCGGCTCCACATACGAACGGGCAGCATAGGCAAGTACAGAAAAACTTTTGCTTCCCATTCAGAACTCAGATTGTTGGTGTAATCGACACCTTTACAATAAAATATCTACATCAAATAGGACTATTTTGTTCTGTAATCAGTGGTGTCTGGAATTTTTATTTGGGCCAAAGTTGTCGAGTCAAAAGTAATAGAATTTTGAAAAAATGCAAAAATCTCTACCTTGATTCCGTTTTAGTTGTTTTTTGATCCACTAAACATCCTATATTTTCACAAAAATAATAAACTAGTCAGATTGTGAAGATGACTTTTTTGTTTTTTAACTACATCTCCCCACTTTTTCAAGAAAAAACTTACAAACAGGTTTTGTTACTGGTAGTCCTGGGAGAGCCTATCCAGACAGCCCAGAAGAGACTCTATAAGGAAGTCCAATAAGGAAAGCTCAATGCTCTTCTGTTTAGCCTCATAGTTTGGGTTACACCATTAGACTTGGGGTCTAATCTGGGCTGACATGTAATAATCCACAAGGCAAGGCAGGGCCGTACCCCGCCTCCGCTCCCTAGGCAGCTGCAGGGTTTTGTATCTCACTCTTGGACTTTTATTACTCCATATGAACTTTGAAAAATGTTTATCCCACTCCCTAAATTGTTTTGCTGGGACCTGCACAAGGAGTGCTGTGAAAATCTACAGCAGTTTTGGGAGAACATTTGTCTTTATTATTCAGATTCTGCTGCCAAGGTTGAGGGGAAGCAGGCTACAAACGTTCCCTGTGGATTTTCTTACTTATTCGTTTGTAGTTAATGTCATGTGTGTAACATTTTTTTTATAATTAAAACACCAAAATACTATATTAGAGATTATTCCAGTTGAATCAGTGGCTACCCGTGAATTGTCTTCACATATCGATGGGATTCAAATGAAATTCAAAGATGTAGCATCACAACCCTAAAGACTTCATCTTCAAATGTCTTATCTGCCAACATCTTTGTGATTTCTTTTTGTAAACATTGCACTTCCATAACTTTTTATATGTATAAGGACATTTTTTTCTTTCTTATCATCTACTGCTACTGAGGCAAATAATAGTGAATATGTTTTAGGGAGATAAAAAAAAAACATCTAATCTCCCAGGCAGATGTTTCATTGTGAATTTCTCCAACACCGACTTCTAAAGGAGACTAAGCCTTGTTCTGTCTCAGATCAACACAGGAGAGAAGCAGTTGTTTGCTGGCTTTTGAGCAAACATTCTTGTTCATTACATCCCAAATCATCCTTTTGCATCCAAAATGTGTGTGGGCATTAATTATTCAGGATATATTAGTTCTTTAGAACTTGGGATTATGAATGAATGTTGCCAGCTCTCTTTATTTGAGTGTATAGTTTTGAAGTGATGGATAATCTCAGCGACCAGGGAGGACAGAGGTGTGGAAACTTGTAAAGCAAACGGTGCCAAAGCAAAAAATATCTCACTGCGATAGTCCCTCTCTGTCTGGCAACTGAACGCTTCTCCTCTTCCCTTGCACTCATCCAATTTGGGCCTGGCACGCCCCTGCGGCACAATGGCAGCTGACGATTGCTTCCTTGCCATTAATCAACTGCTGAAACGATATTCCACCTCATAAACGAGGTGTCCTTTTTCAGGTTGAAGAAACTCTTCCTACTGGCTTTGTTGGTGCTTAATATGCCAGCAAGTTCTCATTGTGCTTATCACTGAAAGCAGGTTAAAAGTGGATCAGGTAACGGGTTATTGGTCGGGATGGGGAGAGGGGATTTTGTCTGGCATGTAAATTCACATCAATGCTTAGATATCCATCAGGGCGGCCTGGCCGACAGTCGAAATAAATTTTGTGAGGGTATTGCTAGTGAGGTCTTTTATTTGTTTTTGCTTCCATCTGCTGCTACCTTTTTCACATATTAACATCCGTCTTCACTCCGTCTTCACTCCTCCTCGTCTTCATTTTTCTGTTGTCTTCTAGACACCGATTCTTTCTCCCCTTCCACAATTTCTTTTTTCTTACTGGTTAATCCAGCTGTGAGATATAACTATTAAGTGTCACATTTTCTCAGTTTCTCTCATCAAGCCTTAACAAATCAGCATGGTTATTGGTTTGGGAGTAAAGAATGTAAAGCCACAGATTGAGTGGCTGGTTGAGTTATGAATATCAAACATCAAATATCAATATGAATATCCCAAAAATGCATGGCCACACATACATAAATGTCGACATAAACATTGCCTTGCCTACTTCTATTCTTAAAACTTTTCAATGTTGCCGTTTTTTGTTTTTTTTTAAGTGTGAGGGAACAGAAATGTATTTAGCATTTTTGTAAATAAAATTCTAAGGTTTTTTTTTTTTTTGTTGCATGTATATTTGTCCCCTTTTAATCTGATAAGTCTGAGCAAAATCCAGGGTAAGCGATTGCCTTTAGATATCAGTTGTCTGAAGAATATTATCCAGCAGCAAAAATACGTATCAAAACTTCTCAAAACTTCCACTACACATCACCCTGAACACACCGTTCCAATCTTTAGACATGATGGTGGCAGCATAATTCTGAGGATTCTCATTATTAGCAGAATTAAAGGAGTGAGGGATGGCGCTACATACAGAGCAATTTTGTAAAAAAAAAAAAAAAAAAAAACTCTTTTAAAGGCTACAAAAAACTTGAAACTATGGACGAGGTTCACCTTTCATAGGACAACAAACCCAAATATACAGCCAAACCTAAAGTGAAATGGTTAAGATATAAGCATATCCATGCCATAAGAATGGTCCAGTCAAAGTACAGTCCTAGATCCAAATACATATTTGAGGCAAGACTTGGAAATGTATGTTCATACAGGCTTTCCATCAAATTTGCCTGAGCTTGAAATACTGAAATGTCAGTATTTTATTTATTTATAAACTTTACCTTAAAAACACTTTGGTTTGATCTACCAAGTAAATCCTGATGATGTAAATTGAAATCTTTGGTCGTAGCTAAACGAAGGGGGAAAACATTTCAAAAATTATAAATTATTTTAGAAGCACAATGAAGACAAATCATCAATCTCAACCCTTTTCTTTAGTTCAGTAGAAGGTTGAACGACTTCCTGACGGAATCAAACAGTTGGACTGACCAAGCCGTGACTGATGACGTACAGATGCTCCTTTGGGATTCCAGCGTAAACTGTGAGGTAAAGGCGGCTTTAAGGGGTTCATCTCTATGAATGCAACAAGGGAGGAGTTGTGTGCTTGGTAGAAAGATGTGATAAGTCAGAATGGTGAGTCAAGCAGCTTAATGGTATGTCATAAATTCCTGAATATGTCCTTGAGCCTTTTTAAGGTCCAGTATATAGAAAATTGCCCAATGTTTCTTCTGATAAACACCGCTGACATACTGAAGCCAGTTTTGATATGAGATGGTTTCCAACAAATCAGCCTGCTTGATAACCTGCAGGGTACTGCAGGAGCAGAGACCCCATTCCTCTCTGGCGCCCAGCGCTGATGGCTCTGGGAGGCGTGATAAATGGTGTGTAAGGAGACCCAGGTGTGGCCAGAGCTGATGGTTTGTCCTAAAAACCAGCCAAAGCTGGCTGACTTGTCTTTGAGATGCACTATTCTCAAATGGTCATTTGTTCGGGGCTACAGCCAGCATGATTTTCTGCCGTTTCTCTCATTGATTAGCTGTCTGTCATGATGACTGACAGGAATTTAACTTACATGACAGTGGAAAAGATCTATTTAATTGCATACCTGCTTATTTATCTCTTGTTAAATTGACAGCAGACAGCAGGGCAGCTACCCTATCCAATGGCAAACAGGGATTTCACTCAAGCATAACAGACAGTGCTGCCTGGTTTTTTTGCCAATATCAGTAGGAAAAAAGTTCTCGACCAATACGGAGACATCTTTTAGATTTACCTTATGTTTTATTAAACACAGCTTCAGGTCAAAGCCGAGTTTTTAAATCTTTCATTTGAAACAAGCAAACATGATGCAGCAGGGGTGTGTGCCTTGTTACCTTGTAAACTCAGCGCATAAATTAAACTCAAAATTTTAAATGCCCTGTGTTTTGTACATGACAAACCTAACAGAGTGGAGGGACAGCAATTTAGACTCTTCCGCTGAGCTAAACTAAAATGAATACACATAAATAATGCACTCAAGTGACACAACGATCAGAAAAAGGAGTGAAACTGTGTATTAATTTATGAACATTTACAAAAAACTGTTAGATGGTTTTGTATCATGTACAAAGGACCTTTAAATGCCAAGTCAGAAATTCTTAAAAATGAAATTGATGCATATTTCATTTTCCCTGATGACTGCACTGCATCTATTAAATGTTCTTTCTTCACTCACTTCTTCACAGTTATAAAATTGTCCCAAAATAGAATATGCCACAGTCGTCTTTAGGAAACATTCTTTTTTCATTCACTGAGTTTCCAAAAGTTCCCGCCATACCGATTTAAGCTTTTTTATTTCTTAAATTTGCAATAAACACAACAATACAGATATTGCTTAACTTAAATCAGACTTGAAAGAAATATTTTCCTTTGAAAAAGGAGAACTCAGCAGGAGAGCCGAGGCAATTAAATGCCTCATCTGTTGTACGAATGAAATTAATGCAGTGCAAACATTAGCTTTATTTCAATTACTGTTGGAGGCATTATGGCCAAAGTTTAAAAAAAAGATATTTTAAAACTATACACATTAAATTACATAATCAACTTAGTTTTTGTCTAAGCTATTAAAGCTCTAAAAGCAACACAGTGCTGACTACATACTGACATCTAATTTCCTGTTTTTGATTCATGGATGTTATCAGTCATGTTTTATCTTTAATGCTTTAGGAATTTATCAGCAGCAGGCTGAATTAAAAATGAAAGGCGGATTCCTAAGCTTCTGAGTGAAAAATTGCACATCTTTTAATCATCATAAAGTAGGACTCGCATGTAATTGAAAAAAAAAAAATGTTATAAATTGTCACATCCATTCAGTCACACTACAATGCAGTCATTTTTTTAAAGGTAAAGGACCCAAAAGTA